CGTAATTCCAAGCTGTTTCAACCTGAGGAGGCTGGCATCGACGTTCAACCCTGGGCGGGTTGGGGTGAAGATTTCAATCTAGTCGGGCATGTCTGACATTTCTTCAGTCAAAAGTGACCGAGAAACAACAACTACAGGAACTAAGGAAAAGCCTCTTGAAATTGTTAGCGATATTTACAGCGGCATTCCCATTGATTGAATGTGGTCATTGGTTGATTTGTAAATTTCCTTTCGGAGGCTGAAAGGGTATACCACTTTTCATTAAGCTGCATCGTCAGTGATATTACTTTGCATTTAAATTATTAAATTAAATCCTCTTGTTCCTCCCTCCCCCCTTTAAGTTCATTAATCGTTCTCACATGGGAGTTAGAGCATCGAAGAATTACCTGGAGTGTCTATCGATCGCGACCAGTGACTGCGTGGGAAAGCCACATATTCGTGTACGTGAAGATGTTGAATGAATCCGGGACAGGAACTGGAAATGTGATCCCTCTTTCACATGGACCGAAAACAGAATAAGTTGACGGTGCAGATACCTTTTATCGTCACAATGGTACCCACATATACAAAGCCAAAAGTAAATGAATAAATGACAGATCCATTTCTTGGAGTTCAAATACACATGAACCAGTGAAAGAGATTCGTGATCGTGGATCACTTCCCAGCCGGCATAGCTTTAGGCGACTTATAGACAGGCTTTTGGAACGCATCCACAAGTTTTGGGAGGCTTTTGGGATAACTCCGCACTTCTGTCGCCATATTCCGTTGAAAAGTACGGCCGAAGAGGTGAAAGCCGATGTTCCAAAGTAAGACGAGTAGGAATTCCCCAATTTCCAGGATCATGATGATGCAGAGACCAAGATAAATCCCCACCACACCTCCCAGGCTGCTCAGCAGTTCCTTCGCCTAAGTTTTCCAGCATTTTGGAAAAAGTAAAAACCATATCGGGACACTTGCACACTGAGCGAAACAATACGAGACAGACATCGTATTTGGGGCGCTGCGTGATGTAGTTAAGGTTGAGATCCTGGAAATAGACATCGAGTCGAAGCAAATCATCCTTCATGGATTCTTCAAATGCGATGGCCTCTTCCTCCGTGAGGCGATCCAAATCCTCCTTCAATCCGATACGACTCCCCACCTTTTCCACCATGTGTTCCTTCAGGGAAGAGAAAAACAGCTCGATCGGTGAAGTCCTAATGTATTTTCACCAACGCAAATTGAAGGACTTCGCTCACGAGATACTTTTTGGACGGCCATGAAGCAGTGGAGAGGGATATTCGATACCCCATTTCCCTGAATAGAGAATTACACAGCCGTGAACAAATGATAGGGTACGATGAAAGAGTAATAGCTAATGAGGGGACTGACTCGCACGAAGGATGACAATGACAGGTCTCGTTCTTGTGAGATTCAATGACAGTCCTCGACCGGTTGATGCACGACAGATCCGGTGCTGCTCCAATAATCATCCAAAATGAGAGCTTATACGACACTGGACACCTCTAAAGGTATGAAATCCCAGAACATAATCCGATATTGCTATTATTTCATTTCCGACCGACAGCATAACTGTAGGAATTCGACCTTCCACCAGTGTACAGGTGGAATAGAATAAAACTTGATGTGGTTCTTCTCGAGCTCCTCGGCATGCCTCGGTTCTTCTCTTTACAACCTCCAACGATCCTGAATCGTGCCTATTTTGTCAGTCTTGGATCAGTGGGGTTTCTCATTATTCACGGCAGATTCTATTGAGATGTACGTCTCACATCCTTATCCAACCGAGTGCGGCGCATATTTTTCTGGTTCGACTTCCAAAAATGGGATCTCGAGCAGTCAGCAGTGATCCGAAAATTTGAGAAGGCTATATGGAGTAAGCCTAAAAGAAGATATAAGTGAAACATCGGAAACAAACAAGGATATGTGATGTTGCAGAGACGGATTCCAGACCACGTCTTGCCCCGTTCTTGCCCCTCGAAGACATCTAAATAAAACGGATCCCTGCATTTGCAGCCTTCCATAACCCGCACGATGTCGCACAGTCGTTTGCATTGCTGCACGGGAAAGGAAAGAAAAACATCAGGTGGGATTTTCCACAAATGGAGACGCACCTCCAGGCACAGCCCCTAAACTTTGACCAGATCCTTATAGAGACCTTTTTCTCTATTCACGTTCAGAAATATGAAACTAGCGAGGCTCTTAAGCTCAGAATTTTGATGATCCACATGGTCCAGTAAGGCATCATACCTGCAAATAACCAGGTTTCTGAATTTTTACGTTTCCGAGTTCCGTGAGGTCGACGTTCTGGGTCATTTTGCTTCGTGTTTTTTTTTCCTTTCAGCGTCTCTTCATGAAAAAGGACAACTTACGCAATTACTTCCAGGTTTCAGATGTGTGTGGTTACCTGTGTCCTCTGCGTGTTTGTGTGTGGGTTTGTCTCTGTCAACCCTCCAGTGCATGTAACTTTCTGGGGATGCTATATAATTTGATTTTGAAATATTTTAATCAGAACTACGATATATGGTGAGTGGTATTGTCATACCGTCATGCTGTATTCCATGGAGATTTCCTCTTCTTGCGCATGATAGGGCCTGAATTCAGTATCCTTCCACGAGGTAAAGCATTCGTCCTCGTATGGACTCTGCAACCTCTCCACGACCATCTGTTCCACACATTTGAAAAACTCCCGTCTCCCAATCTCGACCGTGTGCAATGCAGGCTTGAAAATGACGTCATACCGCATTGAGGGCCAGGGAATTCTTGGTATGAGGCTGGAGGTCGTACCCCTCTTCGAGGGGATTGGGGAGCTGACGAGGGGAATGGATAGCGACTCTTGCTCCTGCACTTTGAACCATCCCTGACACCAAGTAATCGTCTTGATTCAAGTACAACTCCAACGTCAGACCTGGGTTAGAAGAGATGGAAAAAAGATATTGATAGAAAAAAGGACTTGAAGAGAACTTGGGATTGTCAGGCCTCGAAACCAGGTCTCTGTTTCGATACCTCTGATGCCCCTTTTTCTGGGTTCTGTCGCGGTATCGAAGCAACATCTTTGGTTTTGGTCTTTATTTCTGGTCTCGCAGGCTCCAACTTTGTTCTCCACAATCGAAATACAACTCATGACCTTGAACTTTTAAATGTTCACTTTAGTATGCCCCTGCCAAAAGCGTTCGGACAACTTAACACTACTGTATATTGCCTGCGGCCTACAACTCTATGCTATGGGTGGTAACAAGGCATCAGAATATGTCCAGAGAATCCATTGGAAATATGTGATGATAATCAACTTGCTGTAACATGCCAAAGACAAGTTCAATTCTGAACTAGTGTAAGTGATGTGGCCACCACATGAGGGGAAATCGATCTGTGAAATCGCCGCCATGACCAGTCATTCGAAGTCTACTTTGCATGGAACGATAAAGAGGTATATAGAGTACACTCCTAACTTGTTACTCTGAAAATGGGGTAACAAAATCTTGTAATTTGTTACTCTTGAATAGGAGTAACCTACAGAGGAAACAGTGGAAAATTGCATATAAAATGTTACAAACTTTGTATGAATATTTTTTCCATGTACTGGATTGTTCATTAAAATGAATGTTATGTCCTGAACTCCATCAACATTTCTGAGAATTGTTACATCAAGTATAACATCAACATCACTACCCAGTTCATTTGAAATTTTCCACCGGAGATATTGATGAAGTTCAGAAGGTTGATTTCCCTTCACATGAACACACCAGTGCCTAAAAAAATTTTTTTTCCAAGTTTGTAACCTTTTATTTTGTGATTTTCCACTATGTTACTCCGTAGGTTACTCCTATTCAACAGTAAAAAAAAATTACAAGATTTTGTTACTCTATTTTCAGAGTAACATAGCTAAGATTGTAGGTGTCACGACATGAGAGTCACATTAAGGTAGACTGCTATTGCTCTCGGACGGCGACTAACGAGCCCAAGTAAGAGCTATGAAGGCACACCGTAAATGAACACTCCATACTCTATGAGATCCGCACTGTCTTTCTTGTTCCTCTTCGACCCGGTGTAACAACCCCAACCCACAATCTGAGAGTTTCATTCGCGACCAGCTGACTAGCTATGGATCCCAGGTCACAGTCCATATCATCACTTTAGAACAGGGGCCTCAAACTTGCGACCCGCTAACACTATTCATGCTGCCCGTGACCCACCTGGTACACCGAGAGAGAAACGCTTTATAATATAAACAATATAAAGTACAGGTAATGGAAGATTTATTCAATCTACGATTTTACACTTTGGCCCGCAGAAAGGTCCGAATGTGGCCCGAAAACGAGTATAAGAACCCTGCTCTAGAATGAGGTGATGGTAAGATATTTAAGTATTTGGGAAGACAGGAAAGAAAGGAGATATGAAAGGGGAATGAATGGCGACAAGCTAGAAATGAAGTGACCTGAGCACGAGAAGAAGTCCCGGAATGAGTCTTTCTTTATTGTCCCTTCTTTCCAGTCACATCAAATTCGGTGTTCTCGAATATTTCAAACTTTATTGCAAATCGACTTATTGTATTCTCTCTTGAAAGGCACATTCGGCCGTTTCAGATTTTAGTCGTTTTGCCGTCTATGAAATGTATGCCACCTGATCTGGGAGTACTTTCTCGGTGCATGTAATCGCAAGAGAGGTTTTCCCTCATCCGGTGGTGGGATTTCATCTATGCCTCGGAATGGTTCCCTGGAATTTCAGAGGATGTAGGACGTTCCAGCAAAAGCAGAGATACTTTTGGCTTTCCGTAGAAATGTATTTGTTCGCTTTTTTTTATCCAACAACAAATATGCTATTTGTCACTCGTGATTATGTGGTCTGAGATTAAGTCAGTCGCTCAGCGCTAGAAAGGGTGAAGGACTTTTAAGATGCTGGACTCTGTCAAGGTCTCAAAGATCATAGCCCCATTTAGGTCTCTGTTTTGGGACGGATGGTGATCATAACTTGCAAATAATAATTTAATCCGAGAAGACTTGGCATTAGACGTCATTACCATATGCTATCCCAGGAAGGTTTGTGGATCTCCTTCCAGCCGAGGGGTCCAGCTGGTAATTGAAGTAACTGTTGAACATTTGGCATGACCCGTACGTCGCCGTGAGATGGAATTTGAAGTACCTAGAAGAGTGCATCACCATGAAAGAATCATCGATTTTTTTTAGCATCATGATTTGATCGAATAACCAACTTTTGATCGTAGCAGTCGCTGCCTTGGAACGTGCATCCGACAATGATATCATTCCAATTCGTGTTGACGGCTTCCCCTACTTCCTCGGGAAGCAGCTGGTATTCGTAGATGAACTCGTTCGTCTGCCAGAGGTAAATGGCGTAAAATCTCTAAGTACATTTGATACTATAAATGGTATGCAAGGATGTCCATCTGTACATGTTGGGTATCTTCAGATAAGAGTTGATCTGAGGAAGAGTTTCTGTCGCCCGTGGCCATCTGCTGTTGTGAGACCGTGTTAACGTATCCACCCGCAGTTCTCTTTTTCTAAAAATATGTGCAAGGAAAATCACATTTCGTTTTAGCACTCACGCCAGAGTGGCGGAACTCTCGTATGCTCGCTTACGCGTCGATGGACAAGATCTGTGGTGACATTAGAATGGGCTTGAGCCACCTCGTGTTTTTCCCGAACCTTCTCTGTATATGGGTAGATAATACCGTAAACGACTAGCAAGACTAAGGAGAGAAAGAAATCTGGTAGCTCATACCGATGGCCTGGAACAAAGAGGCTGAGATGTCGGTAATGTTACGGTCGGTGAAGATGGATGGATCAACGTTCATGAGTCCTTCAATTATATTCAAGAGTTCCATCCAACTGTCGAAGTCATCCGTGAGGTAGCTGACGTTAAAGTAGGAAATGTCCCTTTTCCCGGCGGCAACGAGGATCTTTTCGTCAGCTCCTTCGCTCCTCTTCTCCTCCACGAATCTGGAAATCCCGCATGTACTCGATGAGAAAAACAATGCAAATCCAGTACCAGGGAGACAAGGATGTCGGTCGTCCTTACCTCGCAAGATCTTGGACGAAAGCCGGGACCTGGGATCCATTTTCGTGCAGCCAGTGTTCAAGGGTTCCGCTATCGGGTACTTCACATCCACTCAGCTTCCAGAGGTTCTCGTATTGCAAACGGAATTTGGCTAACTTGGTGCAGCTGATGGGATTATTGTTGCAGACGGTGACGGCTGGGAACATGAGGGTATCTTCGTGATTCAGAGAGACGAATGTCGTGACGGGATATTGGAAATATTCCTCGACCAGGTCACCCACAGACAAGGCCGTGAGTATGACTCCGGCAAAGAACACCAGGAGCCAAAGCTGCCCATACGAAATGCAAGAGAACTAGTTGTGCGAGAGGTGTCCTTATTGTATGAGGTAAATCTTTCTTGAAATCTGCGTTCTCACTTCTTTTTATAAAGATCTTGTAACATTCTGAACTCGATCATCATCACCACCACACTGATCAGATTTGGTTCATACAGACTATCAGATGGTACGGGTTAGGGGAAAGACCAACAGAATTGGATCTCCCGCCCATGCATCACCTCTCTCCCGTAAAAGCCAACGCCAATGCATGTGCCAAGTAAAAATTCCCCCCCCCCCCCCCCCCGCAAAAAAAAGGGATTTTTTTTGCCAAATTTTTGGCGAAAATGAACTTGACCCAGTATCTTGACCAAGTTTATCGGCAATCTTGTTTTCATTTTCATCGAGACTTTACATTTTGAGTTATTACCAGACATTCTAACTGTTAACAGAGCGACAGATCCACTCATACCAAGGAGAGACTTATACTTGGCCTTTTCTCAAAGAATGAAGATATTCACTAAAAAGAGGCTATCATAGATACATTCATATAGCCCTCCACATATTATTCATATAATACGAGTACCTCCTCGAAAAATTCATGCTAAAAAATTTACCGTTTTCCGAATGATATGTATGTTCCTGCCAGCATGATAGAGACCGGGAATGCTGGTGGAAAGGACGTAGTCATTCAGGGTCCCCTTCACCACTCGATACAGCTCTTCCATCACGCGCTCTCCTGATAATTCCTCTTTTTCTTAGTAATATTTCATACCGAGTACCAAAAATTGTGCATTACCAAATTTCGATGATGGACTTTAATATGGGCTCCTATGGGGAAACAAATAGATTTATGTCAATGATTGTTGCAGATGACATCTTCCTTCCCCCGATTCTCCATATAAGCCCATGTTAAAATCCTTTATTATCTGGGTTTAATACTACTTATTAATATTATTTAGTGTAGGAGAGACATACATGTCAGAATCCGCATTTGTGGAAAAGAAACTAAGGAACAAAAACTAAATCAGTATTTCACTCGGATGAATTATCGTTAGATGAGAGATGGCGATTACCTTCAGGCCTGCAGATCTGATGGCGTGAACGAGGATAACTGAATGCTGTCGAAGCATAGAAGATTCCAATGTAGACTGCGCACATTTTGTAACATTCATGACACAGAAAGATGGAGTTTCTGTGGCCTACCGCGCCTGCTCCGCCTTGATTTATGTCCACGTAATAAGACCTATCTCGTCGATATGCCTCTCGAAGAGATAGTGGGTTTCTCCGGTGTTGATTACCCATTCTATCGGGTCATGAATAATTGTTATCCAACTCCTCGTGCATATAGAGTTGACCGACTCCATCGAGTACCTACCTTTTCTGCCTTTCATGCGTTAGAGAAGACTAATCGAAAACCCGTGTGCACACAGGGTGTGTAGGTTGGGTTTCTGGGAAAGTTCTGTCGTTTTTGCTTATGTACAATTGTACTTATCTCCCAAATACGAATACAGCTAATGATGAATCATCGATTGTTTTTGTTTTTATCTTTGTGGATTAGAGTATAAAAGGATGTCATCACTAGCCGTATTCGTGTTTGGGAGATGAGTCCAATTGTACATAAACAAAAACGACAGAACTTTCCCACAAACCCAATAGATAGGTGACCTCCGTTTTTGATCACTGGATGGCGATTGCTAGAGAAAATGTGTTCCTCGGTTAAAAATTATCATGGTTGAACACACTTTGAAACTGCCCCCAAAGTCCTGCCCACGCCCGATGTTTGATCCGTAGACCGAGGCTAGGAGTTGCGCCCTCGGAAGTAAAAATTTCATCTCTTGGTACACAGTACAAAAGTCGCTTTTGATTAAGGAAGAGAGGGTGATGAGTCGGTGGTAACGGGAAAATTAGAGGTGCCGAGGGAACCAGTGGTAGTGAGGATGAAGAAAACCTCACAGCACAACTTAGAAGGGATGTGGGCCTCGATATAAAGTCATGTACACAAAACTGGTGCTGTATAGTGGTCCCGAACAAGTTTTCTAGACTGTACAGATAAGCACCAGTGCATTCTCATCACAGATTGACTGCAGCAGGACCAAATGTCAAAATTTTTATAACGTGAAAACAAATTCTAATAAAGGCTGTAGAATGATTTGTCAGCAAGGGAATTGCGTCTAAAATTAATACGAAAGGTCATTCGGGTCAGGTCAAAGGTCAATTCTAAAAAAGAATCTAAAATGAGTTGGACCATCTGTAGGAAATTAAAAATCGAATGAAGTATCGGTGGTGGAAATCGGTTGAGAAACCTAGGAAGAATTCACTGGACAAAATCCAGTCATACAGACATCCGCCGGTCGTTATGTATATATGAGCTTGGATAAGTAGTGACAACCTGGAGTTAATATCAGGAGCAAAATTAAGATTCAGATATGCTCAAGTTAGCCATGGTCATATTTCCTTTAAAACTTTTTGAAAGGGTTCTATTTTAAAAGCCTAAAAATGAACACGATCCCACTATCAGTTAATAGTAAACTTCATCTGTCATTCATCATTTGTGGAATATTCAAAATCACTTAAACTCATGTTTTGAAAGTGCAGGTGAACGAGCATGCTCATATATCACGTATCATCGGACATCTCTTGCAAATTTAGAAGCACAGCATCTCGAAATATGGTACTAGTTTGCATTCTTAAACATCGTCATCCGATGTCGTGCGAACCCTATCGACATCTCAGATAAATGAGGAACATTTTTCCTTTTTGCGAAGTCGACAAATATTTAATTCAGTGCTGCAACCGCAATGATTTCTCAGAGAATGAAGCATCGAAAGTCAGTGGAAACGCAATCCCCATAAAGCTCCTCTCAAATTACTTCAATTTCTTCAAGTGCAACACGACTGAGTGCAGGTGAGAGTCCATGGAGAAATTCTGGCTTTGATACCTCTTACCATATGCTGCGCTTTCTGTTAGCATTTTCAACGAGTGGCTTTTCTCTTACCTGTTGACCTCGAGCCTTCTCTTCATTAGTGCAATATTTGTCGCATTGTGAATCGTGATTTTTCAAAACAAGAACATGGAATTCAATGGAGGGATGAATTGATTTGGCTCTCTTCGATCCAAGAAATACGCTATCTTCATAGTGCATGATGAGAAGCATTAATCAAATATCATATTTGGTAATGTGACACTCTCAGGCCAGCCGCTCGAGCTCGCCAGGGTGACGTAGTGGAGCATTCAGTCGGTTTTAACAGAGGACAGATGTAACATTCCATAATGACGCCATTTAAATATGGCGCCAATCCTTGTAAGCACCTCGTACGAGCCGCAATGAGTCCTACTTGTCTTTAAAATTAGTGCAAATAAATATGGATCACCTACGAAAAAAAGATTTCGATTGAAGCATCAATGAGGAATTCCGGTTGAGAAGATTGGAAGCTCTCTACGCGAGGTTCAAAACGGACTTCTGGCGATCGTCTCGTGTGTAGCAATTGGAAGTTGTGCGATACCATCTTACAATGCGTGCAGGGAAACGCCTTTATCGGCTTAAGCAAAGCCACATGCATGACCTTTGGACACTCCCTTGTCTAGCATTCTTCCATCGATGTTGTTTGATGAGCGAGCCTCTGCGTGCGATATAAAGTACTTTTTGTGTCAATGGCTGTCGTTATATCCCGACTGAACCGGGAAAGGCTTTTCCTCCATGCGATCCATTCTCTCCTTGGGACTAATAGAATAAGACATGAAAAGAGGAACAATTCAATAGGGAATAGGATGAACCTGCGCAAACGAGAACGCACGTATTTCAGGCGTTATTTCATCGCTTCGACAAGGAATACATTGGTTCCTTATTGAATAAAATTCCTACGGGATTCCACCAATGCTTTTATGGTTTAGAAGCGTTATAGGTTTCCTATAATATACCTTTCCAAAAAAAGAACCTGAGCGCAGAAGGGAAAGAAAGAAGATGCTCGCCCTCACAGTTTCCTCACCCCAAGGTAGTCTGGCCCTTATTGGCTCCTGTCTCACACATTCCCCAATGACACTGTCTCATTCCCCCTTTTCGCTGGGACACGAATTCAATGGGAAACGGAGGGCCATGTGCCCTCGTGTAGCGCTGTCTCGAATGGGGCTCAGGATTCCAGATGATTTTCTCTTTCCCTGCTGGGGATACCTCACCGATCACGTTTTTAATCGGAATGGAATTATTCATTGTGAAAGCAAAGAAATAGGTGTGCCCTCGTTTGCACAGGTTCATCCTATTCCCTATTGAATGATTCTTACTGTCCCTCTTTTCGAGTCTTATTATAGGGGGCAATGATTGTTTGACACCATGCACAGCATACGCTTACAAATCTAAGGCGAGTTTAGAGTGAAGCCGTTTTACGCCATACGATTTGCAATAGCTCAGATGCAACCGTTAAATGAATATACTGAAGCACTCGAACTGCATTCTTTTTCCGTCCGAGTTGCTCCACCTCCTTGTGGCTGTAATTATCCCAATCTACCGTGCTCGTTGATATAACGATCGTCCGGTTCCCAATCCTCTCGGTGGGAATGTCGATAGTCGTGTTATTATTCCACTCGGTCGAAAGCCATGTTGGCCCATCGCCCGAATGCAAGTCTCTCAAAGTCACCAAGTACCTGAGTTCACGCAATTCCCGGGGACAGAAAGCGCTCGGGGTCGCCATACCTGCCATGCCTGCTGAAATATCGATGATCGTTCGTCCCCCGAAAGAAAGGAAGCCATCCAGGCGATAATAGAACTGCCTTTGTGACTCGCGAACCGCACAGAAGGCGTCTGTACGTTTGTAAGGCCCATTATGCACTATTTGGCTTCGTCGAGGACCGATGAGCGCGTCCAAGATGATTGCTGCCATGACTTGGACACATCGCAAGACATATGCATGACGCTTGTCCCATCGATTCCTGGTTCGCCCTCATATTGTTGATACAAAGCAAGATAACGAAACGTAAAGGAAATATCTATTATTTAAATAATAAAAAACACGTCTGAACTGTCCATTAAACTGTGCGACCGAATTCCATCCAAAAAAGGAATCAATCTGGTTGAATTCAATCAAAAATCCTCTAATAGAAATTCCGAGCTACCTTGATACGGCCTTGAGACGGCCTTCAATCGAAAGAACTCAAGGACATTTTTCTCTGTCTGAAATGAATTGAGGAAATGAAAGTTCCTTCAAGTGGATCGAAGAAAAAGAAGCGCACTCACGAAGAAAAGATGTTCTATTTAGTTTTCGAGAGGCGTTTCACGACTTGCCATATTCAATCACTAATCACTCCATTCGGTCCCTTTTGAATCCCTTTTGAAGCTCTTTTCCTTCCGAGAGATTACTGCCCTCATTCTGGGTGAACGGAATATCTCCTTTCTTAAATTCGAAATAGGCAAAAAATCCTCCTCGAAAATATTTACAACTCGAAATGAAGTTCAACCGGACAAAGGTTCAGCTCATTCGAAAAAAATGCCTCGAAAACAGAAAATTTAAATTTTAAATTTAACTTCTTCTCATGCCCGTCCGTCAGTTAGGGTGTCTGTTAGCGCCATAGCACCCAAACCGCTGAAAATGGAGTGCTGAAAATTTTCACGCTGATTCCTTTGCATCCAAGGATTCATTCTTCTCGAAGATATAAAATATGCTCCGAAGTACCGTTTTTGCTATTTTCGCGGAAAACTTACTTTTGGAATAGAATATAAAAGTATAAATTGTAAAATAAAAATGACCTTGGACTCGATCCCATCGGTCATAGAGGTCAAGAGTTAAAAGTAAAATAATTCGGTTATGAAGTAATTGAGCTGCATTCCTGCCATCTGGTATTTACTCGAACAAGCAAGGTTTCCAGAAGAAAAGAGCGATGGCGAATGATTCCCAGTCGTTCCATTCATCCCCTGCGAGTGCTACAGCTCATCACGGAAGATCCCGCTTGAGCCGAGGTGAAATAAAAATCTCTTTCCTTCTCGTTGGAGGGAATTTTCCCATGATGGTTTTCCTCAAAAACCAGAAAAAAAAATATCCGTTGGAAAATGCAACTCGGGCGAAGCATCACCGAGCGATTTCTGAGCGTTTGATCGTCGTGCGATGCGATGAGAAGTCGAAAGACGTCGCTTAACACATTGAGGACAGGGTACCTGACACTTGTCCAACTGCTGAGGACCGACAATTTTTTTTTTTTATCTTTATTTTACAAGAAAATTCAAAACTTACTAACTACTGTTCTTACATACATGTTTCAAGCACAAAAATGCTCAGGGACGTTCACAGAATCCATTTAGATTTACCGGATCGGGA